AAGTTTGGATGTCGAACTTTCTCCTTTCAATTGCACTATAGCTGCTTGGTTATCGACAAAGGGTAACAACTTACTGATTCCTTAGAAGCCAACTTCATCCAACATATTATAAAGTCCATGTAATTCGGTTGCTACGACCGATGCCGCTATATATTCAGACTCTGCCGTTGATTGCGACAGTGATGCCTGTTTTCGAGATATCCATCCGACATCACACCCTCCTACAAATTATCACTCCTCCAATTATGGATTTGTGGTCCTAAGCGTCCGCAGCGAGGTCTGCATCGCTTTAGCCGGTGATAAAACCATCAGGTAGGTCTACAGTTCGCTCTTGATTTCTCATCTTCAAACTTCAAACTTCAATTCCTTTGAATATTGTAGAATTCTTTTACCAAGTTATAAGTCTTGTTCCCTTGGATCATGGATTCTTCTCGTCATCTTATAAACGGCAAATGACAAGTCTGGACGCGTGCAACGTTAAATCCACAACGAACCCCCCACTAGTGACCTGAATTTCTTTGAATCGTGCAATTTAGGGCTGGATTCGTCATATAAATGTCCAGAATCACTCGGAATTCTTGTCATTTTTGCGTCATTCATTCCATATTGGTTTAAAAGGTCATCAATAAGGTTTTCTTGATCAAGAAAGTAATCTTCTTCGTGTTTGATGATTTTCATTCCCAAAAACTTGTTAACTTCTCCCAAGTCCTTGATTTGTAGGCTTTTCAGTGATTCAAACAGCTCGTTCACTAAGTCGTAACTGATCCCAGTGACCTATAATCATCCACGTATATTCCAACGAGAAATATTCCACGATCGTCCTTCTTATTGAATAAACATGGTTCAACAATCGATTGCTTTAATCACAAATCGTTCAATTTTGTACCAAGTAACCGATTCCATAATCTACCGGCTTGTTTCAAGCCGTAAAGGCTTTGAAGTAGTAACAATACGATTTCATTTACAAAATTCACACCCAACTCCTTCAATACTTGATCCCGTTTCTTTATCCCTTGTGGGATCTATATATAAATGGGGAATTCCTCTTCAGCGGATGCTTTAACGTAAGCATTGGGCACATCTCCATGTTTCGCTGGTACCTTGCAGTGTTGCACCATTGCCAAAATCACTTTGGCAGTGATCATTTCCATGACAGGCGCATATGCAAGCATGAAATTCTCACCGAAGACTTGTTCATTTCCGCATGCAACCATTCTTGCTTTGTGTCTTTATATTCCACCTTGATCGTTGGTCTTAGTCTTAATACCCATTTGAGATTCAGTATTTTTTCATGTCTTCTGTCTTCATCACTTGTTTTACGTGGCGTTCTGCCCTAATGAGTCAAGCTCGAACTTAATCGCAACAGTCCATAGGTCTTTATCCTTAGTCTTCATTGCTTGATTGAAGGCTCTAGGATCGTTAATCACTAGATTGACAGTCTTCTCATTGCTCGTTTGCTCTGAATTTTGTCTTGTAATCATCTTCTCAGCAGGTTTCCTATTGTTCTTCTTGTTCGAAGCCTTGTTCGACGTGGACCTCTTTGTCACTTCAATTTCCTTGTCTCCTGATAAGGGTGCTGGTCATTCATTGCCCCTCCATCGTCCTGATTTTAAAGCACATTCTGTGCTCTCGCTAGCAACTCTGCATTTTGGGCTTCCGTGAACGTCTCTGTGGACTTCAAGTGAGGGGTGATAATCACCTTCTTTGTGTCATATAGGTAAACTATGTTTTCTTTGATTTCTTTGAAATTCCAGGATGGTACCTGACTCTGAACGCTTCTTTAGAGCTGATCTTGCTTTCCCTGGGTCTCTAAGCACTCTGCATAGCGATCCGAATACAGCTTTGTCTCTCACGCTTGCTGTGCTTACATTCAAAGCCTCAGTTGGTGACGTCCTTCGAGTATTCGATCTGGTCGGGCTTCTGTTAAGGATGTAGCTCGCGTTTTTCATGACCTCGCCCCAGAATTGTAGTGGTAAGTTGCTGGCAAACAGCATGCTTCTCGCCATACCCATTATTGTTCTGTGCATTAGTTGGCCTTGCCGTTCGACGCTTGATTGTAAGGTTCCGATATTTGCCTCTCTGCTCCAGACTTGTTGCAGAACCATTCTTCTCTGGCATACTCCCCATCCCCATCAGTACGCAACACGATAACTTTGTAATTTAATTGCTCCTCGAAATACACCAAGAAATGCTCAAACTGCTTCGCTGCTTGATACTTAGTTTTAGCCAAAATACTCGACAGTAATTCGTCTCATGGTAGACGAAGTTGATCAAGTATCTATTGCCCAATCTGTCCCTTGGTGTGATAGGGCACTTGATATCACACACTATTACAACTCCGATGCGATCGATAGGTGCATTGGATCCTGTATCATTCCTGGGCTGCTTGTTTTTTGTCTGCTTGCCTTCGTGACGAGCTACACAGATTTCCGTGTATCATTTGTTATTTCTATTCCTGAAATTGGATTCTTGGCGATCCTTTCGATCGTGTCATAGGTCAGATGTCCCAAACGCTGGCGCAAGTTAATCAGGGTGTCCCTCACAGGGGCTATACTGTCTTCCTTTGCATTCGGTGT